ATGTAATATACTTCGACTTCACGAAGGACTCCAAGATGCTAGCGCACGCGTTCCTCATAGAGAGCGTTACAAAGATGGGTTTCACTGATCCTAGCTCTAAAATCACATAGATAATAGGATGTTTCGTACCAATATAAGGAGAGTGGATGTGAGTCATAGGGCCTCAACATCAGTAGTTTCACAGAGAACAAACTTACGTTGACTGCTGTCTCTGTACTTCTAATGACACGAATCTATACAGACGAAGCAAAGATCTCGTGGTCTTTATTGCTGGTATGTATATCCCACTTTTTACTTGAAAGACGTCGGATTGATGGTTGTAGTGCGTTTTCACTCACATTGTAGAACAAAACAGTTGGGGCTCAATGATATCACCTCCAGCATACAGGGCTTTCAATATTCAGTGTAGAATAATGGGAAATACCATGTCTACGCAAGATAAGAAAGTAATTTTTTTCACTTCAGATAGAAGTGAAGTGTTCGAGTTTCTCCATATGCGTTTCACAGCTTGTTCTGTACACCTCGATGTTGATTGGTTCTTACTGACCTTAAATTTGTCATTGTTTACTTTTTTGTTTTGGTTTTGTCTCCTATTGGTTTGATTCTTGTTCCTATATTTGGGCATAAGTTTGTAGAATTATGGTCTATTATGATATTAGCACTGCTCTAATAATAGACCTAATCCTAAAATTGTAGATTTGTTACAATGTAACCGCCTAATCTATAAGATCTTATGTGAAAGTCACATCATCATCTACACCATCTCACTAAGTCGTAACAATTACCAATACAATATATAGAACAATCTTAGGCTAGGCAAGGAACAATATATTTAATATGAATAAAAGATATAACGCAGCACTTAGCAGGGACCACGTCTGCATGGCCGAGCCATGCCATACGATCAACTCCAGTTTATTCAATTCATTATTCCCGCCTTCTTCGTTGTTGGGTATTTCCCAGCGTTAAATTTTGAATGTCTATTTTCCATATTGTCTCGTGTTAGGGCCCAATGCCACTACAAGTTTCCTGATTGGTTGATAAATTAGATCGATTTCAATATGTTTATTGATTGCTGATTCACCTGAGTGCCAGGCTTCTAAAAACTCTCTGGTGTATTTAGAATTTCCTCTGTCTACGATTTCCACATTTTTCCAATCGAATGAGTGTCCGCAGTTGTCCTTGTGTATTGATATATGTGAGGAGAAATCATGCCGTTTGACTGCTAATTGATGTTCATGTAGGCGCAGGTGAAGGGGGCGTCCGCTTTGTCAGATGTAGTGTTTGTCGCAGTTGACACAATTTATTTTGAAGATGATGTTTGATTTATCTTCTCTTGTTATTTCATCCTTTGGTTTGTATAGGATGCTTGAGCTGTGGTATTTTCGCGGTATGAAGATGTTTTCAGCCAACTCCTTATCACCCAACTTAGGTTATTACAGGTCCACAAAGAGCAAAAAGGATTCTTTTGAGCTTTATAAAGAACTTACAACAATAGAGAAATGAACAATAGACAGTGAGTTGGAATTTAACCTGTTGAAATGCCATGTCAAGGCAAATACAATATCCAACTTAATACAAAAATAACTTAGCGCAATCATCCAGGACTGTTCCTAACACTGTTGAAAATGCAAGCACAACCCTGTCTTGAATTTCACAATGTCTCTGCGCTCCGTCTCTTCAGAGGAGATATCAATCTCTTAGACGAAGAAGGAAAACGAGCAATCAACTGAGATAGAGCTAGAACATACTTCTTACGAGAACATAATCTAACAATTGGGATTATTCTTGTTGAGATATAAGAGAATAAGAGGTGACTTAATATTGGCACGCAGAATATTGAGTAAGTCAAGCAACTAGGACACAACCATTCTATCTGAACGTCACCACTACGTTCCTCCAGTCAACCACCGAAACGTTGCACGTTAGAGAGCAAAAATCCAAGTACGCTCGTACTTTTTCTCATTGTGGTTTGCCCTGATTGCGACGTTATCTTGAAATGATCACAGCATTCTCAGTGGATATCTTTATAAGGAAACTTTAAAAATACGTACTAACCCACGGATTACTATCTCTTACTTGGACCAGCTGTGTTTGATGAATGTCTCACACTCTACCTATTGTTATCATAACCGCATATCCCCTATATCGCCTATTACCTTTTCTGTTTTCTCTTTTATTCATACCATTAGTTCTACTCACACTGTTTCCATGACCAATTAGTTTACTTATTTATTCGTTTACTTCTTGAAATAATCATCTAATAGCACTCGAAAAATCGCTTTATCAATTTTTAAATTGCGAACAACCACCATCCTGCCTGTTATTGAGATGTATTCCCTACTTCAATGAAACACTTGCGCTCGCTTGAATTGTTAGCTGAACTAATTCAAAAATAACTACCGAACTGACTGGAATTATTGCAGACGAGTAGCTAGATTACCACCCATTGGATATTACATTCAAATGGTTCACACTGTTGTGGACGGAATAGAATTTTGAGTTTTCATGGTGACAAAACAATAACTGCTACAACCTGTCACAAAACAAGTTTGGGAACCATTCATCTAACATCAATATCTAAAGGTTCATGGAGCTTGTCTGCAATTTCCACGTTTGGTCGGGGAAAATATTGTACACTCGTGAATATTAATACTAGACTATTTGACATGAAACAGACGAGTTTGGTTTGAACTTCTGCATGAGTTTGTTTGTATATGTGAGACTTTCATTACTAATTACAGTCGACTCGTTATTCCACAACAATCATGAAACTTTACTTCAGATAACAGCTAAGATGACTTTGTGCCAGAAAGTGATCTCTATAGGCAAATCACTGACAAATATTACCAGTTCAAATAGTATAGTTTTGGTGGGAACTACTCACAGAGTTACCTAACTTGCCATGCACTTTAAGCTAGAGAATGCTTCACAAGGTCGTGGACGGAATAGAAGCTTTCACTTAACGGGTTTCCGTGTCTAGTAGCAGTGGATCACCAATACCCCAAGGCAGGAACCTAGGTATACTAACGATAACAGAGGAAAAAAGAAATTAGTAAATCATAGTAAGATATTATCCTTAGTCCTTAAGAATAGGTCAAGTTTCCTCTTGTAGGACTCCTGGGAAGTCACTTGTACTAGCTCAGCCGGCAGCGAATTCCAGCATTTGACAACTCTTAAGGAGTAGAAGTTGTGTCTACCATCCGTTCTTCTGTGTTGTGTCTCCAGTTTCTGAGTGTTGCCCCTTAGGTTTGTGTTGGATCTAAACTTAAGTAGGTGTTTACGGGGATGTCCAGAGGTATTAATGATGCTGTAAGCCATTAGGTCACCTCTATGACGCCTATACTCTAATGGGTAATGGTTTAGTGATTGGAGGCGCTCTTCATAAGGCTTGAATTTGAGTCCTCGAACTGATTTCGTGGCTCGCCGTTGGATACGCTCCCGAGTGTCCTTGTCCTTTTGGAGTGAGGGAGGAAATACTGTGTTTCCGTACTCTAAATGAGGACGAATAGAACTGTTGAAGATTATGTGGAAAGTTTTGCCGTCAAACTGGCCGAAAATGCGCTTCAATGTTACCAGTGCAAGGCTTGCTCCAAAGGCATTTTTGTCACAATCAGCGTTAGACTTCAAATCGTAGGGTACCAGCACACCTAAATCTTTTTCAACTTGAGATACTTCTAGAGAGAGGTTTCTTAAGTTGTAACTGTAGTCTGAAACATGTCTCACATGGACTACTTTACACTTTGAAGTGTTAAAGGTAATTCCGTTGTCAACTGCCCAACTTTGAAGTCGAGTCAGATTCTCCTGAAGTGCCAGTATATCGTCTTGGTTACATATCTCTCTCCAGTTTCACATCACCAGCGAAAAGTAATAAATCTGACGGTACCTGCTGTGAGAGATCGTTTATATAAATCAAGAAAAGGAGAGGTCCTAGCACCAAACCCTGGAGGACCGCACTAGGACATTCCATAGCCTGAGAAGAAGTGAAGTTAACCCTGACCTTCAAATGTCGATGTTCTAGATAAGAAGTGAGCCGAGCAATTAGAGGTGATTTGATACCCAGTCGTTTGAGCTCATTGATAAGACATATATGGTTGACCTATCAAAAGCTTTTGAGAAGTTAGGGTAAATGACATCAACCTTAAGCTTGCGATCAAGGATGGTTGTCCATCTGTCCACCACAGTCAGAAGGTTGGCTATACAAGAATAACCCTTCTTGAAACTATGCTGTTGGTGTGAAAATAAGTTTAAGGATAATAAATAGTCGTGTATACCGTCGCATATCACGAACTCCATATTTTTTGAAGGTATAGAGAGAAGAGCCATCGGTCGGTAGCTTGAAAGTTTGCTGCGTTAAGCTCCTTTCAAAATTGGTGTGATGTGTGAGCCAGCTTCCAAATTTCCGGTAGTTTGCCTCGGTTTAGTGAGTGTAAGAACATTACGCTAAGCGGTGTCGCCAGGATCGAAGCTGCTTCCCTCAGTATAGCAGAATGAACCATATCCGGGCCAAGAGAAGTGTCTTTTTTAGGTGCTGCAGTTTCCGGAACACCAAGTCAGCGCTCAGGTTCACTTCGGAAAGCCCTGCACAGTTGCAGATGAAGCTGTCATCAATATGGTTGATGTGGTTCGACTGAAATATCCGAGAGTACTGTTCAACCTGAAGTTTAGCGGCGTTACCGTAGTTCTTGGTCATTTTGACACCTTAAACCGTACTGAAACAAGAAGTGAGAAGTTGCTTAAAACTGCTCATGATAAAGGCACTGGATATCAATGTAGTCGAACAGACTACGAGCTCCTAGTTTTGTTTCCACATGTTCTTCATCTGAGGCTTATGTTATTCCTGATTGTTTTTGGGTGCATTCCTTAACAAATGTTAGTGGATTATGTGCACTTGCTGGGTTGTTGACCTAACTCTTCTCTCGTTCTTCACTTTTCCAGCTCTCCTCAATCACGCTATTCAACATGCTCCCCTTAGCGCACAAGTACCTTCTTGCTAGACGTGAACCGCTACAATTGGATATTGGAAGCTATTTGAGCGCGTAGTCGCCTTCAGGGTCGTTTACAGTACGAAGTACATAGTCTAATTTGAGATATTTCTTGGTGGGCATATTTTAATTTTCTAAAGTTTGTTTTAATCGGGAAACCTCTCTTTTTGGGTTAAAGCATCAAAGCACCTCTGTATGACTGAATTCTCAATCCATACAATGACTCGAATATGTATTAGTTTTATTTTCTAAGTCTTTCGAATACCAAACCCATCACAAAGGAATTCTTTGTATGTTAATTGACTTTCAAGTTTTTACGGTTATACGTACTTGGCAATTTTCTTCATGAATAAGTGACTTGTACTGTGATATTTATTACACTAAACTTAACGCCAAAATCGACGCTAGTGATAAATTTACATATTCGGACATCAATGAGATTTCCTTTTCTACTTCAGATGCCTAAATGCACTTATTGGTTCGTGCTATTTAAGGACTGTCTTGTGTGGTTTTATCTACTTAATTCGATATGTATATATATATATATATATATATATATATATATATATAGTAAGGTCAGTTACTTTACGTGGTGTGGTAAATCAAACATTGCTCCACTGCCTTGTGGATTATTCTTTTAGTCAGAAGCCTCCATGTGTGTTTCCCCAAGAACACTACCTGCCAAGGTCTGAGCACTCTGATAATATCACAGTCCATACACCAAATGAAAGTTGATATTGTAAATACTTTTCTTGCTTTAATTAAAATTCAAATAATTCGCATTCATTTGGTAACATTTTTATTATTTTATATACTACTTCACTTATCTACTTTCGTTTATTTTTACTTTGTGTATTCTTATTTTTTGACCTATACAGCAGCTCGCCTATGGTGAACACCCTGTTCTATCTAAACGATTCACTTGTTGACTGAGAGTATGCCGATGACATAGTTCTATTTAGTGAAGACGCTGACAGAATGCAGTCTCTTGACCACTATAAGCAACAATGCAAGCATGTTCGGGATGCGATTCTCTCCCTCAAAATGCGAAATGTTACTTCAGGATTGGGTTGTATCGACACCCCGAATTAGTGATAGGGAGTGAAGTAGTTGAGCGTATCGACCACTTCACTTATCTTGGGAGTCTCATCAGCCCTCGTGGTCTGGTGTGTGATGAGATCTCGGTACGGATACAGAAGGCTCGATTAGCTTTTGCCAACTTGCGTCATTTGTGGCGTAGACGAGATATCCGTCTATCAACCAAAGGACGTGTTTACTGCGCAGCAGTTCGTTCCGTCCTACTTTATGGCAGTGAGACATGACCAGTAAGAGTAGAGGATATTCGTAGGTTACTAGCATTCGATCATAGGTGTATTCGAAACATTGCTCGTATATCCTGGGACTACCGAGTAAGTAAGTAAGTCAGTTGTTATGAAACGGGTACTAGGTAGGGCTGGCAAATCAATTGATGAAGTAGTGAAACTTAATCAGTTGAGATGGCTGGGACATGTGTTGCGCATGCCTGACCACCGACTGCCCCGACGCGCGATGTTCTGTGCTAATGTGGTATTGCAACTCGAACTGCTATACGTATGACGAAGCTCGACGTTACTGACTGACCAACTGAAATCCCATGGTAGTCGGTGACCAACAACTGGTTCATACGCCACTTGTTTCTTTAGGATCCTGGAGCCCGTGTGCGGAATCAGGGTTTTCCAACTCCCTTAGCTGAATCGTCCGTATCCACCAACCCGGTTAGATCTCTGGACATTCACTTTTCGTCCTCTCAATTTCGTAAACAACAGTAATGCCTCTTGGAGGTAATGAGTAGGAATTCCTTGGCGGTGGTTGAATTCACGTGGCTTTTTGAGAGCATTTCAAGAAGGAAAGCTGACTCTCCCCACGCCTGATGCGTGTACTGCTTTGGTATGCATTTTAATTGTCTTATCTCTCTGTGTTGATGTAGTATGGTAACTTGAACCGACGCGAACACATCCCACGTTATAATTCACCTATGAGTAAATGGACACTAATGACTTTATTGGATAGTTTGTTCAAGCTGGTAGTTATGAAACCATAGTTATATTCTTGCTTGCCCATTTGATTTTATCATTCTTAAAATCCCTGATATTTGTGAATTTAAATTTAACGAAATACAACTAATCCCAGTAGGTTTAAAAATTCGACAAGATGCAAGCAGGAACTCGAATTTGAAGCACGCAGTATGAAATTGTATTGTGTTGCTATTACGGATTTATCCAACATAAAACATTTGATTGTACAGTAAATGTATTAGTTATTCAACACAATGTCATTTCTACCTACAACCCCATCTCAAAAGCCATTTACCTTTATATTCTATAGACACTTTTCTTCACGATATCTTTCTAATGGTGTCCGGATCATTAAGCAGCTTTTCTTCCGCAGTCAACAAAACTGCAGGTGAGCTTTATTAAGCATTTTATGTTGTAGGATCTGCAAATGCATTATGCGAACTTGTAGAAAAGTCTCAAGACTTTCTGATTCGTAATGTTCACTCATTAGACTTTATTTTGGATGACTTTGATATTACTAAATTCGGGATTTTACATGCAGCTGTAATGTTAGTTGTCAACCATTTCATACTTACAGCAGACATGCCAAATATATTTCACAGTCAGTTGTTGATAAAGAGTGGCTAGTAATCCAGACTCAAAACCTCTTCAATCTCTGTAACTCAGAGTCTTTGCAAAAAATTCCATCTTATGGTAGGTATCTGTTTGTAACTAATATGTAGTCCGTGTAATTTCACATGAATTTACGAACTGCCTGATTAATATGGGGATTCCACACAAGGGAATCAGTTGTACGCTCACTGCTATTCAAAAACTTCAGAAATGTCCGGGATATCTTACTCCACTACACTGTGATCTATGTCAGGTAAATGCTTATGTATGTACATGGTGTGCAGCTTGGATTGGCTGCTAAAATGTTTAGTCCCACTCTTCCAATTCTCGATATTGACATTTTAGAAATTGATAAGAGCGTATGTTTTGCACGTTTGTGGTAACCAGTTCATATAGAGTACAGCCCTTGAAGCTAAAGATTATCTCCTATACTTTTACTATGGAGGGATGATTTATGGCGCAGTAAAGAATTGGGAAAGAAGCCTACACTTCTTTGAATTGGTAAGTTTTTTTGTTCATTTAAATCATATAATTCTAGTGTTTAATTATCCCTGCCGTATCATCAAGCTGTATTCTGATTGAAGCTGCAAAAAAGATAATATTAATCTCCTTGATACTACATGGGAAAGTGAGTTACTCTATTTTGTTGTACTTTTAATCACATAAAGGTACTTATTGTATACATCCCAGCTAACTGTTATATATTGGGACCGCTGATTAGAGGGCAGTGAATTTCGATCGGACCAAGGACGCGTAGAACACGTGCGAGCGGCCTAGAGTTCTGATTGACCCTGCTTTCCGCCTAGCCCAGCCAGTTAAGTTCAGAACGCCAATCTCAGCCTCTGCAATATGAATCATTAAATTTTAATCATACTGAGTATATATACCAATCAAACAAACCACAACGTAGCATAAAATCGAGAATAACATCCGTACAAAATTTGGCCAAATGTGGCTGTGAATGTGGGGGTGCATTGACTAATAAACAGGGCATAATTCAAGAATGGTAAAACGTATGATAATCGTTCATAGGTTAAAATGAAGCTTATAATAAGAGGAACATGAATATGAATAGTTCAGTTATTTAACAATTATACGATAAAAATATACGTTTAGTATTTGTCCACAAACGGATCCCAAAATTACCATTCATTGTTTTTGTCGGGACATAGCACTAACTTAGTAGCACATAGCTCACAATTCACCGAACGAATACAATAGTTTGTTTTAAGCTTGTACCAGTAGCTATTCTTCTTGTTTATTAGTGTTGCGATTACTTAAAAATCTTTCCAGATACCAATAAACAAACAACACAATATTTATGAATACTGGTCAGCTAAGTTGTTACGTCCTTGATCTGTCTACCCGCTTTTGGTACTGAGGATAACTTGTCTAATCTAGATTAAGACCTTGAGTGATAGGCTGACCGGCTTAACTTTTAGCTAGTACGCGTGAGTTTGAAGTGGGGTAGAGAGAAGAAAACTATTCTATCATCTGACAAGCACGCGAGTGAGAGAAGACAAGAGAACTGGAACACTACCCGATTTATTCTCAATTCCGATCTGGTTCCCGATTTCAGGTCGGTGTAAAAAGATACATAAATAAATAGATGACTTACCTGACCACAACGTACAATAATTAGGAAAATACAATTATGTGCAATACTGGGAATTAGAGTAGAAAATATAGTACAAAATATTACGTTTAAATTACAATAGCTTTAGAACAAAAAGGGCTATGGCAGTGAATCATGCACCAAACAGAAGCTTATGATATGTAGAATAGATTAGGGACAAAAACAAATGTTGGCGTTTTACAAGCTTTGAATTAACTGAAATAACGTCCCGAAAAGTAGCTTTCGTAGTTTGTCAAGGCTTCTTTTTTATCTGTTCACATCATAAATTGAGACCAGTTTTTTACCGGGAATTTCCCGTAGAGAACTTTCTACCAACAAATAGGAGAGATTTCCTTATGAAATTTTCAAGTAGCTTATTGTTAGTTTGATACTCATTGGTTCTGCATTAAAAAGGTCGTCTTAAACCCGATTGTCTGATTATTTACTAAGCCGTGTCAGTAGCACAAATAAAAATATATTGACCAGATTTAAAGTCTGATTAGTATATCTTCCGAACGTTTGTTTACCTAGCCCTCAGGGACACTATGAGTTTACTAATGATGCTAAGCGGCTCCCCAAATTAAAGTTGGTGGCGATGAGTTCGAACACAGGGACTATCAAAGATACTATCCCTACTTTTAAGTGACCATCTGGCTATTATCACTAACATTAGCATACATAGTGCGACTTAAAGCGGAGTAAAAAGACTTGTCTCTTATAAACGGGCCAACATACTAATGTTTATATCATATTATGAAATATAAATGATGTCAAAGAACATTACAACTAGTCTTAAACATGAAGAGTGCAAACTATATATTTCACAGCGATCACAACTATGAATAATCGTCCTTAGTTATTGGTAATTACCCTTTTGGTGTAAGTTGTTGATAATAGGCGATCAGTTTTTTTATGGAACCTCTCAATGACGAGTCTTTAGGTCTTGTTTTCTGTCATGTGGTTGACCTCAGTTTTCGGTAAGTTTCTAAGCTATTTGAACCAAATTGTACTTATAGTTTGCTACATCTTATTGCCGTTAATTTTTAGTAAGCCTCCTCATATTTCTAATACTTTCAATGCTTCTAGTTCAGTACAGTTCTTGAAACTCCGGTTGCATATTTCATGTCTCCAAGGCCTTGGAAAGTGAGTGTGTTGGTTCTAATCTTTTAATTTTATTATTAGCCATCATTAGGAATATAAGCTTAAAATTTTTTTAAAGCAATATGTCTGCGATGATTTTTTTGCCTGAAGATTTGCATATTTTGTTAACATTACTGACTTCACGAGTCCATTGTATGAGAACACTATTGGAGTGAAATTTGTTATATTCACTAATAATGACAGATTCTCACTATTAAACAGTTAAGGTGATCACTTTTGCTCTGTTTGCTTGTTTCTTTACGGGAATGTCTATACATCTCAGCGTATTAAGACGGTAATTGTGTTTAATTAATATAAAAATCATTCCGTTTTCGTAACAATCCTAAGGTTTTTCCTTTTATTTAACAGGTGCCAAGTACATTTTGTTTTCAGTCGTAGTTTTTAGAAGCAACTTCACTTCAATATTTTAACATTTAAATAACTACTGATTAATAAGTACTAGGCTGATGTGGTTGAGTAGATAAATAAGCGCAAACTAAGCATCGAAATTCGTCATACATAGTAATACGCGGTCCTAATTTCGAGTACAGGTCTCAGTAACATGGTAAATTCGTTTAGGAAAACCATTAAGAGAAGTGCGTTCCCCTAAAATATTTCTGTCGATAAAATCACAGGACTACATTAATTTGGATCACTCTCAGGCATCCGCTTTACACCTGACAGGTGGATAACACATAAGAACAATATTAAATTCTTACCTAAGTTGTTCTGAAGACAACATTTCATCCGTCTCTACTTCTAGATCATATGTCTAAATTCCAAACACAGTCTATCGCCGGCTCGTGTTTGTCTGCACTTACTGGATGCATAAGAAATGAAAACTCAAGCCTTCTTCAAGTTAAGTCCAAAAATGAAAAGCTCAATAAATAGGTTCTGGATGGGATCACTAAAACTTTAGTCAATCATGAAGATGATATTCATCCTGATATAACCCAGCATAATTTTAAGTCACTTATGACATCTGTTAGCGAGCAGAACCAAAGGTTAATAAACACCAGGATGTCTGGTTAACTACAAAAAGCAACTTCATTTTGAACACAGACTGACAAAATTTCTACACAATGACTGTGAGTGACTACGGGCAGGAAAACGGAAAAGATATTCGAACAGCAGATCCGATAAGTATAACTGAATAATTGTTCAAATTCATGAATAAATAATCATGAGTTATTGAAATTATTTCTGAAGAAACGTGATGCAAACACAGTCCATAATATCATCTGAGCAAAGTTATAACAGAATGTCGCCATAATCCGTTCACTGGGACACAACATCATAAGATCCACTTTAATGCTTTTCAGTTTGGTTTGGTATGGTAGGACCTTGAAGAACGATTGTTCCAGTCAGTATAGCTTGGTTGCTTCAACAATATAGGCAACCCCGACCACCACGTCAAGGTAGAAACAACGTTCGGGAATAGATGGTTATCTGAACAGTTGTAACAGACGGTCGCCATAATCCGTTCACTGAGCCACAACATCATAACATCCACTTTAATGCTTTTTAGTTTGGTTTAGACTACTTACTAGGGCATTAAAATCACCTGCTAACGTTACTGCTTCTGAGCGCTTAGCTTTTTGAAGGAGGGTGGAAAGCTTTCTTTATAATTTATATTTACCCGATCTGTGTTGCAATCAGTGGGAGCGTGTCCAAATCTTCCTGAGTTTCTACTGTCCCTTTGGTGGACGACCCAGAACAGAGTTGGATGGAGAATGTTGGCGAACGGTCTTAGCTCTTCTATGAGGCGTAACAGGCGTAAGTTGGTGGACGGCACACAAAAGGCTAACGATCGGGATACACGGATAGTAAATCACCCCGGTTCTTTCCACCGACTAGGTGAGATTAAGTGAATAACTGTACGTGGATTTCGTATGCGCGTTTAGGGGACGTAATATACATCGATGGTGTGAGATTTTACTCCCAAATAAAGAAGCTTGTTGTCCTATCTGACAAAAGGTTCGAACATTGAAAGCTCCGACATACAGTATGGAGCGTGGTCTCAGGGGTCCGGGAACAATATTTTGTGAACTCAAATCATTAGCATTGGTGGCGTGCGGTGACAAAGATATGCGAGAACGGTCGGGGGGATAGGGGAAATATTAGGAATCGAGAGGATTTGACCGTGAATACGATGATTTCGGGTGCTCTTAGCGATATGAGTGTGGTCGTCACTTACCGGCTGCCCACACAGTGGAAGAATAATTTTTCTTGAGGAACCTGGAAAAGAATTCGGGTCAGTGGCGATCTTAGCAATCGTAAGCGTGTCCATAGAATACAGGGGACAACTGCTTGAGGCCAGCCGCGCACAACTTTTAATGCGTTAGATCCGCACTTCAAAAGACCTTACTGTCGGAGACAGAAATTTGTGGGGTAAATCGAGGTGTGATATTTTGGGGGGCCAACCTTTTCTAACTCCTTCCTTCCGTTGCAAGAAAGCAGCACTGCTTCAGGTGCCGATTGTCCAAGAGAAACGTCATACTACTGTCACAACGCTCTACAATCAGCAGTACGACCTAGCACCTGACCCCTAATCTGCTGCTTTTAATCTCAACGTCCTCCAACAAACCTGCCTTGCATGACAGGACCCTGGGGGAACATGTATTCCAGCCAATACAGCTCCGTTAAGTCATCACAATAGGCAATCCCAACAACCACGTCTATTCAGCAGCTATGGTGGAGGGAGAACAGGGTGGTTTGATTGATGTTACTTGGACAACAGACTAGTTGAACTGTTTCTCGAAAATATATCTTAATAATCGGTGTCCTACCAGATTCACAGGATGTTTCAGTGACACCAGACTTCATGCTTCTAATGGGATGGATGAGTTGAAACAGCTTTCATAATTTACCGAATGCAGCTGCTGTTTCTAACTCAATAGTACACTCAGACCACCAGGTTTCTCGTCCCGCACGCAAACTCCACACAACGTTCTAACGTAAGAATCCACGCTTATCACTGAAATCCCCGTTTCCTGGAATCGAGTGATGTACCTCAAAGAACTTCAAGGAGCCTGTAGAAACCCAAACGTCATAACTCAGATGCTGCTTGAAGCCGCTATTGACTTTACCAACCATTTTCATGGCATCATGCAAACGCAGCCAACGCTCATCTACACTTTTCGGTGGACCAACTAATACCATTGAACATAACTCAGTTTGATATTTTTTTAATGTAATGGAAGCTGAAGTCAATTTCCCCGTACCAATCTTTTTAGGATGATAAACTTGTTAAACACTCAAAAGTAAGATAAGCTTATGGCAAACCAAAGCCATCGTTAGAGTCCAAATAGATACCCTAAGAGAGGCGACAGTATTATATACAACCATCCCAGTGGTAGCTAATCAGGATACGCTCAAACTAAGTCTCAGCGTGAGTTTATGATAAAGGACGTCAGGTGGCACACCACAAATAAGAGTACTGTAAGTTAGTGCTGGTCAGAAACAGGTTGAAATTAGCGCAAAACTACAGGGGAAGGTCATTGTTATGTGATCTGCCGATTCACATAAGAGTTCTCTTTAAGCCCTGATTCCACCAACAGTATTCAGTTTATGTAGTTCTTAAGTGTCTGTTCATGATAAAACGAAGTCTATGAAGCACTGCATACGGTTCCCGTAGGAGGTCAATAATTACGTTGAAGTACCAAAACCTGGTAAAGAATACATATTTGATTATTTGTGATTAAGAAGTTTGAACATTCTTACAGCTCGGTACGTTCAAAAAGTCGGAACTCTCATGGCTAAAATTATACACAATCCCAATCGAACGTTAATCATGTGTTTTGAAATTCAGAAATTCTCAATTGATCAAAGGTGACAAAATAAGTAGAATGTTCAACGTCCTCAACTATCGTACTCCGTATTCTAAAATCAAACATTAAAACAAGTACTTAAGCAACGCTGTATTTGTAAATATGAACCAGACCCAACCACTATTTTGATCTTGACTGAACACTGACCATAGGCAATGCACTGATTTGAAGAATCTTGAGAGGAAGGAATACCTTGTATTAACTCAAATAACATATGATGGGTTAACAACCCCGTCAATTCAGGAGCTATGGTGAAGGGAGAACAGGGAAGTTTGATCGATGTTACCTAAGCATCAAACCTGCTTAACTTAAAGGAGGATCTCAATTGACCTTTGACAACTGTCTATTTAAAATAATTAGTCCCTTTGTTATATTTTTATAATGCAATGAGAAGACGAAGTTTATCAAAATTTTCTGATAAACTTCATCTTCTCATTGCATTATCTAAACTGTCTATTTACTGTTTATTTCTAAACAACTTAAATGGAAAACCAACATAAGTGACTCAAATTTTATCGAGGCTTACAGAGTCATAAGTAACTTGTAACTAGGGAGAGCCAACACATCTTACGGGTTATTTCCTAGTGTATGGAAGCACGTCTGTCTAGTTTAACCATTTCATTTGACTGAGGTCCGAGCTACAGTTTGGAAGGTGAACGTAATCCTGTCAGACGTGTGTTTTTCGTCGATCGTCCGGGTTTATGAGAAAGGTCTAAAATCTTACTGTGATAACTACAAAGGAATCAGTTTGATCAGTGAAGTGTCAAAAATTTTAGCTTCCGTAACCGTTCACTTGAATATATTTAAAAAAAGACAAGCAAACATGAGAAACCAGGATAGATGAATTGATTAGATCCATACAATTTGTAAAGTTTTAGAGCACACACCGACCCCCAATTGTAATATTGTCCTCAACCTGAAGGCAGCATTTGACTGCCGCCGAGAGTACGAGTTTAGTGGGCAGCGACTTGGTTTGTCACAGCTTTGAAACCTAGCCTTTAAATAAATGAAAAATTTGTAGGTTACTAGTATTTGATTATAGACGTCTTCGAGGCATTTCTCGCGTATTTTGAGACCGTCGAATGCTTAATTGTGAGGTTAAACTCAGGTTGCTTGGGAAAGATAGCAAATCGTCTGGTAATATTGTAAATCCTCATCTTCTAAGGTGGTTGGGGCATGTATTACGTATGCTCAAGCACCGCTTAATTTAATGTGCAATAGTAGCTGGGGTAGCAGTAAGTGAAAAGGAAACTGTAGGTGGCTAAACCTAGAAATAACATCAGTCCATCAGGTTATTGACTGTTATGCTAAGCCATATTAGTAGGTCCAGACTAATTCGGTTAGGGTCCACGTGACAACAGTGATCATGGTTTGGAGACCTTGGATGTCGTTGCTCAAAACCGGTCACAGTGGCAGAGATGCCTTAACCCATTATCTTTGCGTAACTCTCAAGCTTTTGTATTGTTTCATACCTTTTTTTAATTAGAATCTGTAACTACTTTTGGATCGTAATTTCCTGTATCTAAACCTTCTCATTATTTGTGGCACTGCTATTATTTCGACATTTTTGCAATTTTTTTGATTAACTTCATTTCATTAGTATAATATAGTACACCAGCTTAGGCTAACGCACGTTTGTGCTAAATTCTATTGATCACGATCGAGTGAATCACCATGAATTTTTAGTTATGTACGGTTTTGAGGTGAACAGTATTCATGTTGTGGTTTAACTTTCCACAATTTACATTGATCCAGACACAATATCATGAGGATAAATCCAATTCAGTCCTGTTTTTTCATTGAAATTCTTGTATATTTCTAAGAGTGGTAATCTAGTATCTTACATTACTGTGCATATCTCCATTTATCTTATGTCTATTTGATTAAGACGATGTTACGTTGTTGCAGAATTTTAAGCTTTCACTTCAACCCTGTTGTCTAGTTCTCTTAGGAATTGTCGTTTATTCGTTATGTTCAGTATTACTGGTCACCATGTTTTTTGACCAGCTTTTCTAATCGAAATGTTTGCTTTAAAAATACTATTTCTCACTGGGAATTATAGAAATTGATTTACCCCACTTATCATCAAACTTGGTGAAAAATTTTATTTAGTATCTGTTTGAGGTTCAAAGTGAAATCTAACAAATTTTCTAGTATTTATTTCCCTAACTAATCACTAAATTTGGTGGGATTTCAACAATAAATAGTGTTTGAATTTTAAGTGTCATTGTCATGTTTATATTACTGTAGGACTTTAGAAATTCAGTAATGATGATATAAGTTTCAAATGAATAACAAAGAGGAGGGGAATTAGTTGGAAAAAATATATCATGTGGCTGAGTTTTCCAAAAACACCCCTAAGTTGGTCATAAGTTTCATAGAAATAATGATGGTATGTCTAAAGAAACCTCATGAGTATCGTTAACCGTTTTGGTTATTATAAACTGTTTAATAATCCATATAGTGTTGACATACGAATTCGAACATGATTTATTGGTGATTTCTTTTGTTTTGTAGTCGTAAGTTTCACTCTTGTACACAAATTCATCCTTGTCTAATCTGCAAAAACAATTGCTGCGTCATCATTTTTTTTAAAATTTCTGCCTATTTCAGTGCTACTGTCAACCATATTTAGAACTAGCAACAGCATTTCGATCTAACAATCCTGAGGACTTAACTAATTTTGTTGATCTTCACCGAGAATTATTCACAGCTGTAAGTTTTCCTACACACGTAAACTGCCAGTCTTTCACGTATAATTAATGTTAACCTATAGCAAAGAATGAAGTACACATAAGAAACTAGGAGAGATAGAATTTTCTACCTCTTCAAGTTAATCGCAAGAGTTATTCATCTGACTCAACAGAATTTTCCTGATTAATAATTAATGTCCACTAATTTACATAAAATTTATATTTGATGTTTTTTTCCAAGTCTGTCTTATCTTGTTGAATCGTGCACTTATTCCCCAACCATAATATTAATTTTGCTTTATAAATATAATTCTCAGTTTGATGAGGTAGTATGTTTGTAGTTTATTAGAACTAATTTATGCTGAGAATAGGCTATGGCGGATATCTTAAAAACAATTTTATGAATATTGTCTGGGTCAGAAATATCATGATACATTAAGCATTTTAAAACATTCAGGGAACCTTGGGACGAAACCCTCCTGGGGCTTGAAGAGATAGGAAACATAACATCAGACTCTTTACTTGATTAAGACATATACGTCTAGGTGAGTGTCGTCATCACTTCGTTTCAAACTTGCAAACTTTTGAAATAGTTTCCACATATAAAATTTTTTTACGAGATATACTTTTCAGGTTTTCAAAATACTTCGAGCGAGACACAAATTATGCATCCATTAGAACTTGGGAGAATGGCTTGTTTACAAATCTGATATATTACCACATATTTGAAGAAAATTATATTTAGGGGGGAAGCCGATAAAGGCATTTTGATAAATTAACGTAGGAACGCTTCAATCGGATGAATGGAAATCACTGCATACGTTAAAAAGAGAACCACTGGGTACATTAGTAGCAAATGAGAATAAAGTACAGTCAAAATGCTTTGTACTATGATTTACAATGAGATTAAATTACTTTAACTTCTGAAACACATTTAGGTGAACCTCATCTGATTATCAAGAGAATTCAAATCACAGCACTTTGTATTATTTATTGACTCACATACTTATTACAGATCTATATAATTTGCTCTGAATTACATTGAAATTCTAAACGCTAGTGATACTAACAGTGGACCCAAATCAAAGTAGGTCCGGAACTGCTACTTAATGGCTCAAACTCAAACTCCCAACTACTGAGCCATTGCTCCAATTTATGTTACTGGGACGATTCTAATGGAAAATCGTAAAATCATGTTTTAATACTAAATGATCGTCATTTAATTCATGTAATCAAGATTCTTGTAACCCAGTCTCATCAAAATTGCGATATATATTCGTGTATGAGATAGATTCAGTGTAATCGGATTTCCCTGTGAGAGATTTGCAGTGTTGAACTTATTATTTTAGAAGTAGCCTTCTGATGAGCTCCCATTCTTTTTAGTTTGTGTTGTTACTGGGATGGCTTCGCCTAAATGTTACAGTTTCTTGCAAAATAATAGGTTGTTATCTTTTTATGTAAGGTCGTATGAATTAGCTAATGCAAGTACAAAATGTAGATAACTCGTTGAGATGTTTGTATATAATGGTGATTATTTTGAAAATTACTATGTGCATTATTCTGATTTCAAAAGAACACACTCACTTGCGTGCATAGTCTCATTCCTTATTCGAGTGCTGGGCGGTTCGCAATTATTGAAGTACATATTGGACAAATCTGGAAATTATTTGTTCATACATTAGACTCAAAAATACTTCTACTTATCCTAGTAGTTCAGAAATTTAAGTAGGCCTGTGTTCTGTGTTCAACATCTCTATCTTTAACACATTGTGTCAAGAAACTTTTTAAATTTTCTACTTATTATTATTATTATCGGTATTGAGTTTTTATTGAAAACACCTAGATTGTAGTAGTTGTTTTATATACCTCTATTTTTTAAGCTAACATTGTTTCCGTTTTACAATAGGATTTCAACTTCGGACTTGTAAAACAAGTGATAAAGTGCCATGGAAAATTTCGTATCCAGAGCTTAACAAAAGTAGGTTAAATTTATGCACACATTTGGTTACACCAACTAGATGTATATGATGTTTTACACACTGAATATAGATTCATGGCCTTGCATATTGTTTTACATTTTAATAACATTTTGGGGAATATAAATGTAGGAAGCAATTTCCTACAGGTGTAACTCTAAACTATTCTCTAGACTGTTGAGCACAGAGTCTTGGTTTAGCCAAAGTCAGAACAAGTAAGCTATTTAGCTTGATAAACTTTATCTGTTTCTAAAACATAATTTCACACCGTTACTACACAAAATAAACAGTACAGTCTATTAACACAGGGAAAACAGAGATATAATAACATACCGAACAGTAACTAGAGTATAGGAAAAATGAGTCAACAAGGCAAATATTGTTTTATAATGAACATAAAATTGTGATTGGTGAATAAACAAGACATAGTCATACAAGGTCAAGAAAGTTAATGTGGTGGTGGGCGTTTCACTTTATCATCGGTGAGTTCGTTTATCGATCACACTTTACAATAAATATTTCATGTATGATAATCCCCTCTGAACTGAAAACAATCCCAAAGATACTTTGTGTAACTATATTATATAATAAGAACGCTCCCCCACTATTGTTTGGTATACTTAGTGAAATATTATTGTTTGCGTTTTGTAACAGATGGTGATCACTACCCAGTCGGTATAAAATCTAACTACTGGCGCCAACTTCAAACCTTATTTTACCCGCTTTGCGTTCAATAGGTGTTTAGCGATCTTACGAGCTCCATTTTCATCAGTGATTAGTTCTGCTTTACCTTAATAGTAGACTGCTATAATGACTTTATGTTATTTGAATTTTTTGTGCGTTGATTGTAGTTCTATTTTAAAATTACTCTCATTAATGTAACCGAAGGACCTGTAGTATTACCAAGGTTAGACTACAATTACAAATGTGTTGAGCATTCTGTGGAAGTTAATGGTTGAATTCATGAGTGGATTTAAGCCAGACCAAAAGGGGAAGCACTGGACAACCGTTTCGCACAAGTATGGGACTTCTCAACAGTGCGCATCCACGATCTCGTCCTCGGACCTTCGCTCTCGTGAGTGAACGCTTAACCCCTAGACCCTTGTGCTGAAAAACCCTGATTCTGAGGATAATCATCATGTGTTCACTAGCGATTGACCTCAAGATATATTCTCTGGAGTTCGAGTGAGAAACTGTGACCAATGGATTTTAACCGTGTCTGTTGTGCGGCAGCTACTCACTAGTGGACGGTCGCACAATATCGTGGACTGGTTGAAGTCAGATATTATCACCGTTGGATGCCTGGTCAGTGGTTGAGAGGTTAAGCGTTTGCGTGCAAGACCGGTCTTGGGTTCGAGTCTCGCGCACGAGATCGTGGACGCGCACTGACGAGGGGCCCTATATGAGGATGAAACGGCCATTTAGCGCTTCCGGTTTTTTTTATTGTGGTATAACTTAAATCCAATAATGAATCTAACTATTAAATTACTACAATTTCCACATACCCCCATTCTCTGGAACGCTTATAATAAAATAATAACATATTTGTGATGTCCAGGTTAGTAGGAATTGAAATTTTATGACTTGGTGTAAGCCACTTCAGAGAATAAATCTCCTTTTGATAATCAATAATAAATTAGCTGAAATAGCACAGGTTGGTACTGTAACTCTATCATACCTTCAGAGCACAACAGAAATCTGACAATCCCACAAATCACTTAGGCTTTCTATGTCACAGCTAACACTATTCAAAATATTTTAGTTAATGTAATAGATAAAATCCCCATCAGCTTAACATAAAATTGTTTTACCACACGGTATTTATTAAGCTAATTCATTCCGTTAATTGATTAGGATTTTCAATGTTATCATTATCTTCTGAATGTAAGTTATTTCATTGATGTACTCTTAATAAGCTTCTGATTTATTTGCAGCTTTTTTGAAACAAGACTGTGCGATTTCCACTAATATTCTTACCATTAAGGGGTAGAACTTACGTCCTATAATTGTAGAGTTCACATTTTGATTTTAAAGCATAGCGTTGTTATAATCTCTCCTATTACGACCCACCTACTCATTAAATTAGTATCCTTCGGACACTTTACCTCACTCAACAAGTCCCTAAAACAAGACATGATCAAACAGGAACCTAATTATATTCCAAATAAACACGGTAGAATGGGAGTCAGAATCAAATTGATAAAATCGTGAGTATATTTGAAATTTTACGCAGGACCCTAGAGTCTTCTTCGAATATCCGCTAGAGCTGATTGGCTAACAAATAGCCAACCAACGTGCTCCAAACACAGTCTTGCACGGGACCTGCCGTATTGACCTAATCTATTTCCCGATAACAGTCACCTTTTTAATTATTTTATAGTCTTTTTTTACTTGAAAATAAAATAGAAACCATCCTTTTCGATTCATTCAATTGTTAGACTTTTATGACACTATCCCTGACCGATGTTGCCATGCGTATAAAACTTTCGGGAACCCAAGAAGCGGAAAAACAGATCTTAGATATGGTAAGTACAATTTCAGAATAACCACAGCAGTAGTAAAAATAGTAATTATTGTTATTATCTAGACGTGTCTAAAAATTTGACCACAAAATGCTGTTCATTCAGAACTAAGCTCATGTAAGTAACGTGAAACTAGTAATGCGTAATCTAATTGCGTTCGAGCATTCTTTGAAGTTCAGGTCTTCATTGCTTCTCAGTTTTAGATTGAAATAAAGTTTCCCCTACTCGAAAAAAGTCTATTTTTAACTTCTGAAAGTACTATTTATATACAGATTATTGGAATAAAATCTCATTTTCCAGTTGCACTACATCTTTATGTCATAGAATTTCAGATTAATGTGTCACATCACGAACGCCTAAGCACTTCGACTAGCAATAGTGGTACCTTTCGTAATAAATATCTTTTCATACTAAGTTACGCTACAGAAGAGCGAATTTTGTTCTATAGCTCATTTCTATTGAAGGCACTTAAATGATACATTGACGATTGTTTTTCACCGAAGGGGTAAATTGTAGTAGTAGTATGATTTGTTGTTAAACACTAAATATACTTCAGCATCTTCATGAATTTCCGATTATAATCCCATAACAAAGCACATCGTAAATAGCTTCGTTTTCCTATTTGTACCTACTTTTCTGCAAAGTGGACTAGCAAGAGTTTTATTCTAACGAACTAGAATTTAATTTGCGTAGTCCGATTGTACATTTGACAAAAGCAGATTATGTAGTGCTAAAAAATGTTCAGGAGGTTCGTCGTTCGGGACGCGTGAAATCCAAACAGTACATTTTTTAGCGAAAATGTCTGGCACTCTAAGTGGAGATCCCATGTACATTCATGTGTGAGTTTATGATGAGTGAAAAACAACCAGTTTTTCCATTTATATAAAAATGTAAGTGCATAAAAATATTTAGAACATATCGTCAATATTTACACGTTTTAAAATAATGACAAATTGTCTATTCTTATTGATACATCTCATATTAGATTAAGTCAAAAGCAATTTTTGCAAACATTGATCAACAAAGTGGGACTGTTCATTTCCTGGATGATCCCGAGCAGTATGACTCGATCAAAATGCTTCGAATTCTTCAGGATAAAGTAAGTTTTGTATAATTAAGCAAGTTATCATTTGGTACGATCGACTTTCAGTTGAGAGGTGTGACACGATTTAACTCCTAAACCAATGTCAATTTCAAGTTGTTCAGGTCTTGTGTTGCTAGGTATTACAAAAGTCTAGATAAAATCAAGTGGTCTGAAAAAGTTGTAGAGTATTAGCAAACTTAGCATTATTAACACTAAAATGTACTTGGGGAACAAAAGTTCGACTGGATTTAGCGATACGCACTAGTGTCATAGGTTTCTGATAAAACTGCATGCTTGAACGTTATTCCCACCAATTAGACAAATCTATGCTAGCTAACACTGAACTTCAAAGCAATAAATGCATATTAAATGTTTCCAACCTCAACAGACAACTTAGGATTTCTACGTTATACGCAGCGCTGAACTTAGTATCGCTTCGAAAATATCGATACTCGAATTCTACCCACATATAGGTCTTGTTTGTTTACAGCTGTAAATGGAACAGTTGGGAGACTAAAATGTTACGTCCGCTATGACCAAAAACCAGTTCGCAATATCCAGTAAGTGAAGAAACCCATGTCCATCACAAACATCTGTGCACTGTCACACAATGAGGTTCAAAAGACTCCGTTTTTAGACACCCTCTTTACCAAATAAAATTGCCTTATCTGCATATATTAAGAATGTGAATAGCCTTGACAAACGCTACTTTAGTTTCTCACTATACATAACAATTCTGCGCTCTAACTTAACCAAGTTTTCAGAATACCATCAAAAAATTACCGTCCTAATGCCAGTAGACTGCCACAGTGGTGAATGAGTCGACAGTTGTCCCTATCTTTAAAAAGGGTTCACGTCGTTCCTGTAACAACTATCGGGGGATAAGTCTACTTCCGATTGCGTCCAAGCTACTGGCTTCCATCATACTTCGTAGGTTGTTCAAAACCCGAGAAAGATTGTCTCACCAAAAGCAGGCTGGGTTTTGTTATGTTCGAAGATGCATTGATCATATCTTCACCCTCCGCCAAATGTTAGAACACCGCCATACTTATCAAAGGCCAACAATCGTAGTGTTTATTGATATCAGGGCTGCCTTTGATTCGTTAGACAGGACTGTTTTTTGGGATTGTCAATTTAAGAAGGGCATACAACCACCTCTCTCTATTATCCCATTCAAGCAATGTACTTAGACAGGGTTGCCCAATCTCACCATTCCTCTTCAACTTTGCCATCGATGACATTCTGGAAACAGCTCTGATGGATGTAAGTAATGGTGGTGTGGATCTGTTGCCTGGAGAAAGACTTCTCGACCTTGAGTATGCAGATGATATTGTCTTACTGTGCGAGAATGCCCAAGCTATGCAATCCGCACTTAATCAGTTGGCAATCAGTGTCCGTAGGTATGGTATGTGCTTTGCACCTTCGAAGTGCAAAGTTCTTCTACAAGACTGGCAGGATTCCAATCCTTACTCACTCTGGATGGTGAGCAGATAGAAGTTCGTGTATTCAGGTAGCTGCATAAGTGCTGGTGGTGGCGTGAGTGATGAGATCAATGCACGTATAGTGAAAGCCAGAGCGGCTTATGCCAATCTGGGCCATCTTTGGCGCCTTCGTGATGTTAGTCTGACTGTAAAAGGCCGGATCTACAACGCGTCGGTGAGAGCAGTTTTGCTCTATGCTTGTGAAACCTGGCCTCTCCGAGTTGAGGATGTTAGACGACTCTCTTCGTTTGATCATCGTTGTCTCCGAGGAATTGCTGACATCCAATGGTAACACCATGTTAGTAATGAAGAGGTTCGGCATTGTGTGTTCGGTCACAGAGACGATAATGAAATTGGTGTCACCATCTTGAAACACCGACTTCGGTGGCTTGAACATGTTCTACGAATGTCGTCCCAGAGAATTCCACGTCGTGCATTATTTGCCGACTCTGGGACTAGTTGGAAAAAGCTGAGAGGTGGTTAGTGTATGACATGGTGTCGTGGCATGAAAGAAAGCTGCGAAGGACTGGCTTGTGTTGGTCCTTCGCAACTCCCTGGCTGGGATCCTAGAGATGGTGCGACACGGTGGCTAGAAACGTTATCGGATATGTCTCAGAATAGAAGCCAGTGGCGATCCTGCTGTAACCTTCTTTTACGTTCTTCGTAAAGAGTGGTTGCTTCTTCCTTAACTGAAAGAATTCTTTCTGGTTGTACCTTCACGTTTCCACCATTATTATTATTACTACCGTACTACCTTACACTAATCTGTTATTTTTTTTCTTATGCGCACGTTACCTTCTTTTTTGTTCTTCCAATTCACATTGTTTTGTGTGGCGTATATATTTTTGGTGCCCCCTTGTACGAATATTTATGTGTTCAAATCAATAATAAACAGTGGTGATGTGGTTAGTTTATCTATATTCCAAGGCTTGGATATGAAGTAAACATATGGTCGCCTGTTTCGAGATTCGATCATGATTCAGTGACCTGGATTTTTAATGATTCCTGGACGAATGTAAACAGCGTTCCACTACCTCTTCTATTACTTTCGCTTTTCCTTGTGTTTTAACTCATTACTGCTTGCCATCATTGTGAATGTATTTTCAAGAGTCCTACTTTCATTATGTTTTTCAAAACCCTTCCCATGAATCTCCGAGCATTTATCACTTTGGTAGTCTTTTTTACTACCTTTTAGCCTAGCGAATAACACTACTCAAGGCTTACTCCGCACACTTCATAACACAGGACAGGGTTAAAGACGACAATAATCACACTAACAACAACAAAAAACTAAGAATAAACAAGAGACCAGGATTCTATATTTTTATTAAAATCAGGTGTGACATTTCCAATTTCCCAGTTTTCATTCTTCAGTTTCTATTAAGACTAAGCTGAATGGTACAGGGGGGCACCAAATATATATGCGCCACACAAGCTTTACTATGTGAAAATGCAGTATTAGATGGAAAAGTAGACACTGAAATCTCTAAAAATTCAATCTATATTTGTTAGAAAACAAACGAATTTACATTTTTTGGATTTGCTTCATTTCCGTAAAGATTTTCATATTTGTACGTTTTTTAGATAACAGAATGTGTGAATTTGGAGAAGCATTTTATGCAGTTAACTGACCGGCTAGTGACAAATCCAAACTATGCTAAACGAGTACGTTAGCGTTAAATTTTACTGAGTACAAACTAGATATCCTTTTTACTTATAATAGACATGGTTTTGTGTATTGTTATATTAACAAAATGTACACAACTCATTCATACCTTATTAAACTTCAAACCATATATTGCTAGTTATTTAGAGATTAGTAAAATCTGTCTACCACAAACAGGGTCTAATACAAGCTTTATTCTCAATCCATATAGCTGAAGGGTGAACTAGTATTAATTATGTCACGTTTTTACTTCAGCTGATGGTTCTGACACTTTTGGACGGATAAATTCGTATGGGTAATTTGGTACCTCATGAAATTAAACATTGGGACAAAAATCTTTCTAAATAACTGGCTTTCTTATAAATATGTTTACAAAACATCATTCTTTAGTTCGACTAAGTGGCTATAAAAAACGATTTTCTGTGGTATTCTTTTGTACTAAGCATTCAAATTACAACCGAATAAGACTTCAGATTGAGGCGTTAAAAAATGTAAACCCTTAACATCCTGCGAATTCTCTAGCCTTTTTGTACTTCTCCGTAGCTTACGAATTACGAACACGTAAGTCCTAAGTACTAGGTTTTCAAGCACGTAACCACGTATGCGCTCACGTTCGTCGACAAATTTTGTGAAGTTAATATCACAGTTTTTCAGTCGATATCAAAGCTGTTTGACTGTTTAATATTGGTTCGACAAACCATTTATTCATATAAGAAGAATATATATATATATATATATATATATATATATATATATATATATATATATATATATATATATATATATATATATATAATTAGTTTTACATCTGTGCCTTCTTCTTTAGATGATCGAGCTGGAAACCAAGGCAGCGAAATCTGCGGGCCAGTATTGAACGAGAACAAAAACGAAGAAGGGTGTTGCTTGCATTTTTATTCAGTACTTGTGAATTTAGCGTGCCTTCCTGAAATGGGAAATAAAATTAAAAAGTTAATACGCTTAAATATCTACTTCATTGCAATATTTTTGTGCAGTGTCTTTACACAACTCAGAATATTCTTTAAATACGTGCATCAAAGAAAACGTAGAGTTTAGAAATAATGCTAGACAAGTCATAATTAAGATGCTGACGACATCTAATATTTTTGGGACTTAACGGTCGAAATCAATTTACAAGTGGGTAGAAAACTTGTACCCGTGCCTTTGAAACTAGTCGAGTAGCTTGTTCAATCTGGTTATTGTATCAGTACCGATGATTTAAACGTGTATACTGAATTTGAATAATACTAAATAATAGTAGTGTGATGCAAAGATTTTCAAATCATTTCAAAGGAAAGCGACAATCGGTATTGTAGAGGATAATATCGATATTTACAGGTCTTTATATCATTCGTTTAGAAGATCTGTTGAAAAGCTTTATTGTTAACTGACATTCGTCCAGACATCCACAACATCACTTAACTCAAGAAGTAAGCATTCGTATACTATGGAATACATTTTTTTAGATTTTTAAACAGTGCAAAAGTAATCACCTTTGATATATATATATTCATACAAAAATTACTCACCAAATAGGCTTCTTGCGTGCTTTTCTTTGACCTGGTTGTTTACGTTCCGCAAACCGGTTATCCTGAGACAATAAACCAGTTACCAATAGTCTATTTTTCCCCTGATCTATCGGAAGCATTGAGGCCAAACACCTGGCTATCGCCAAACGAAGAGCATTTGCTAAACTGCTCGAACCGTCCCCGCTTACTGTAGCAATTATATCTACTTTACCAACAGTATCTGAAAAAGTGGAGAGGTTTGTATATACTAAAATTGCATACAGAGTTCGTGCAACATGTATTGTAGCAATTATTTCTAATCTAATAAACTCACAGTTTTAGAATGCATGGAATGACAATTAAAAAGAGTCTATCGCTGACATTTCGCTAATCATGTGACACAGTTGATATTATTCTCAGAAAATAAACGGAATGATTTTGGTATCCACCTTACAACACCCCTCTTTGTTCTTACACTAAATTTAGGTGCGTGAAATATCCTGTTGTGTGGTGTATGTTCGAGACAATTGTTGTAAAAATTCTCCTAGTGGCATGTGTGAGCGGATATTATCAGGCTGTTTCCCACCATAAGGGATGTATTAAATCATTTGTGTTGGTTGAGTGAAAACTACCAACAAATTCATTTGTGGCTTGTACCCTACATACTTATTGTATTAGGAATGTTTATGTGCACTCTAAATGTTACTGCCATTGCTTCTTTTCCTTTACTAGAAATCAGGTGCAACAAACTTAATCCAATATGACTAGGAGGTTATTTACTTCAGGGTAAATATTTGCACCTTTCAACTCTCCCAGGATTTAAATAAAGTAGCAAAGAAAATTGATGTGTGGACGAGAATGATAATGATTGGTTGTCTGCTTAGTCAGACATGTAGATAGTCTGACAGGTGTTGGATGAGTTATACATTCCCCTATCCTTATTATTTATTGTTCACAGTTGTTGGACTGTGCCGGGTTTTGTTGTGAAATATATTTATGTCAGGCTAATCACGTGCTCTTGATCTGAGTTGTGTTGAAGTCCCGTAGAATAGACACTTAGAGGGAATCTAGTGTAGATATTCATCTAAGGTAAATTAACGTCCCCATACGTGTAAACGAAGTAAAACCGAGCGTTATAACAAAAATAGTTGCAAAAAACGATGAATTCGTTGTTTTCTCTTCAGTTATATTATTTTCAATTTTTAACTTATTGTTCGATTTGAAAAAATTGAATGTCAATAATAATTCAGTTGTTTGTAGTGTGAAAGATGTTGAAGATGAAATTTATCTCGGTCATTAGTTCTCTCTGCCATAAACTAGGACAATGGTTAGCTAACAAACTAGAACCAATTCGTGAAGAGTTGTCTGTATGAAGTTTAATGAACGCTTGACGTCGCAGAAGTAAGAGATCAAATAAACTTATGGTCTCATAAGATATACCTTAACTGGTTATCAGTATCCCTTTGGAGGAAACAACTTACACTACTAGCCAATATTCATAAAGTATATCCACACCATAATTAGAGCTCAAACTGCGCACAGTTTCAATTCAACAATAAATTATATCGTCAAGCAGGCTATGTTGCTATGGGATCACATTCCTTGCTGTCAAATTCGTGGCAAATTTGGAAAAGACAAAATCGTTAACCGTTATCAACGAGATTGCAATTTATGTAAGATGTGTTAATAACACCTGTGCGGCAACATAAATGAACCAAATGACATATTCGAAGCCTTCAATAAAGTCCATCTTTATACTGAACCTACAATGGAATATGAATCAGACGTATTCCATTTCCTTAGTTAAAGTATTCCTCAATCAGATGATGGGACATTCCAAAGGTAATTATTTGTTTCACAGAGAAAATTGAAGTAACGAGCACCTAAAATTACACAGCCTTCGCTTTATTAACCATAAGTATGGGTTAGGGAAAACGTTTTAACTGACTCAAGTTGTGTTCACTTGAATAACTCAAAAATAAACATGGAAATAAATAATTGTCTGCACAGAAAACGGTACTAAAATAAGGCGGAAACTTACAAAAACGGAAAGACAATTTCTGTTCGATTGTGATTGAAAGGTGGTCAGGTCATAAGTAAAATTAATCAAACAGCCTGAGAGGTATACTTCAGCTGCGAAACTCATTTCAGTACACACAACACTACCCAGTCACATAGACGAAAATAGACAAACGTCCGCCATGTGTCACCTTCAAATGCATATATCAAGCTACATCTATATCGGAAGGACGGAGAGGCTTCTCGTTTTCCTGAAGCAAATCGGAGAAGGCAAGGGAACCAACTCCATTTAATCAACCGTTAATCAGTATTTATAGCCAGATCAAAATAAGCTAAAGACATGTGATGAGTAGGCTAAGATGTGAACATATATTCACTCATTTAAAAACAAAATAAACAGGCCAATAAGTGACAAGGTCAAAACTTTGTTTAAGAAGAATGAATAGATTGGCTTGTCTGAAGCTAGAATACGTTGTGTCTAACATAGCACATGACATTACACTATCCCCCACAGTCCAAACTTCCATTAAACTAAGCGATAATTGTTCTTAGTATTTTAGAACTACCAACCTCAACTACTATCACGTCACAAACTTGTTCGCTGTTGACACTTCGTTCCTTAAAATTGAACAATATGTTAATAGTTGGTAAAAATTATTAGCTTGGCCAGACATTGTCATATCTGCTAAGCTGAGCTTTGTGAAGAAAGCCCATAGCGTAAAACTCATGATTTTTAACAATTCTAGTCCACTTTCATTGGTCCACTATGAAATTTTGTCTTTGATAATTTTCATGTCGTGAGATGATGAGAGCCGATTGCAACTTCACAATTAAATTTAAGCACAGATTTTTTACTTTATTGTCTTATTGTTTTGTTTTATTTACCGCAAATAAATTTTAAAAAACTATGTAATTAATATATTTGCTCTGAGGTAATAGCAATACACTACTTTGTGTTTATTTGACCTGGGATCGGCGTCAAAATGAAAGCATATGGGAATTTTCTCATTAGGCGATTGTCAACAGAAAGTAATAAGTATATATCCAAATGATTGTACTGCTTGATCGTCTACTTTCAAAGTTTTGAAGAGAGCTGGTTAGGATTTATAAATTAAGTTAGGTTTTATCTTAACTTCTGATCACTTCAGTTCACATGGAAGGATAGAGATTTGTGCTTCTTGATCTCAAATGTTATCAAACATTTCACTGAGGCTCGTGCACAGCGAACCAGTTAAATTCAGTAAGGTCCTACGTCTAACAAATTTCGACCACATCTATACAGTTCGACAGTTTGTGTTCTGAAAACTGATGAAGAGTGGATATTTGGACCACACATCTACATTCAGGTCTAAAAACCGAACTGGCTTTCCCAAGTTCGAACAGGGACTACCAATGCCATCCAGGTCAATACCCATTACTGTAGGGACATCAACGAAGCTGAAATGTGCAAAAATTATGTAAGGGAAGATATCGCTTACTTATATAAACCTGGTACCCTTTATTATTTATTTATTTTAACACATAGATAGTGGTACAAGGAGGCACCAAATACATATGCGCCACACAGATCTCATTTGATATGTGAGAGGGCTATGATACTGCCCGGATGCCCAGACCGAAGCAGGTGGTTTTCTTAGGGGACCACAACCCGAGCCTTCCACCTAAAAGTCTGACCCACAAGGCAGTGGAGCATCGTGAGGAGAAGCAGTCCCATGGTAGCCGGTGACCAACGATTGGTTCATACGCCATTTGTTCTTTCAGGATCCTGGAGCCCATGTGCACCATTGGTTTGGGATCCGGTTATAGCGCCGGACATTCGGTTTTCGTCCTCTCATTTTCGTAAACAACAGTAATGCCACGAGAAGACAGTGAGTAGGACTTCCCTGGCAGAGGCTATATACGCGTGGCCATGTGAGAACATTTGGAGAGGGAGAGCGGACTCTCCCCACTCTCGGTCGTACCAGGGCATTTGGGGGCCCTGTTACCCCTCGTGGCAGCATACGCCGCCAACCAGGATTCTCCAATCAACCTCAAAGGGAGATAGTGGGCAACTCTGGAGAATATCACCTGAGGTTGGAAATCCCAATGAATATTGGCTATGTCCTCTCAGTTAACAGTCGAATGATGCATTGAGGTTAAGGAATATCACTAAAGTCGAGGGTATGTAAGTATGCTTGTATTCTGAAAACTGATGAAGAGTGGATATTTGGACTAAAACCGAACTGGCTTTCCCAAGTTCGCAATTCACCAGACCTATATAACCGTTAAAAGATTATTAAGGCTGCATCGACAACATATTCACTATCTGTCAGTTTCTAGAACACAAACATGCTTATCGGCGTCCGACAATGATAGTTTTTCTTGAATTAAAGGCAGCATTTGACTCTGTAGACCGAGAGGTTCTGTGACAGTGTCTGTCGTTGAAAGGTGCACCTCAGAAGTAGATAAACCCTGTGAGGTCTCTTTACTCGAACACTACTAGTCGAGTCAGAGGTTGTGGCGAACTGTCATCCGATTTCGCAACCTCAAGTGATGTCCGGCAAAGCTGTCCACTATCTCCATTTCTGTCCAACTTCATCGTAGATCTACTGGTGTAAATAACGTTCTCGTCGACTGAATCATCGGGCATTGATCTTCTTCCAGGAGGTCCACTTATCGACTTAGAATACACAGATGACATATTTCTGTTTGGTGAAGTCGCTGATAAAATGCAATCGTTTGGTAGTACTGAGCAACAATGCCAAGATGTTTGGGATGCGTTTCTCCACCTCGAAATGAAAGTTGTTGCTCCAGCACTGGTCTGCGTTAACACCTGAACTAATGATAGAGAGTGAAGTAGTTGAACGCGTGGACAACTTAGCTTATCTTGGAAGTCTGATCAGCCCAAATGTGTTGGTGTCTGACGAAATCTCTGTACGGATCCAGAACGCTCATTTGGCTTTTGCCAACTTACGTTATCTATGTCGAGTAAAAATGACTGTTACCAAATAATTGTGAATATAATTTGAGGATGCGATATTTTTTCAGTTTTAATCACCATTTAATTTGTGTGTGAGTTAGGATACTGTTCGGCTGCTCAAACCGAAGCACATGGTTTTCTTAGGGTGCCACTTCCTAAACACTCGACCTAGAGGTTTAATCCATAAGTTATATTTATAACTGGCGAGACGCCAGTTAGTAATTCCCTAGAACTGGCTGTATACGCGCTGCAATATGAGAGCATTTAAAGAGGAGCGGTATTTCTACACCCTTGGCTGTACCAAGGCTGTAAGTTGGTAGTTAGAGAACCTGGATTTTTTCCCTAAATAATTTTATTATATTCACCATTATATATCATTTGGATCTTCAAAAACACAATCCAAAGTAAAATATTTAAAAACTTGCTTGTTTGCTGTAAAGGGAATACTATTTGTTCTCGATTTCCAAGCTCAGGAAATATTTCTAGAAGTCGTGCTCCGTTTACAGTGAAGTCACCAGTGCCAGGCATGTATAGTGTTACTTCAGCAAGCGAGTTTTTCTTTTGACCAAATGCTTGGACACATTTTCTGTTTGTTACTGAGTCTAGAAATGGCTAAAAAGTCAATTTGTCTGACATAATTAAACCAACCTCGGGAAGTTTAATCTCTGAAGTAGGACCGCATATTGGGACTTTAAAACGCTGAATAAATTCTTCGACCAAATACGACAATGGGTGTTCTGATAAACGCTTCATTAAAACTAACCACTGTTTATACTGTCACAATTATAACATAATACATCAGGACAAAAACTCAATACCTGTGCATCCGACATAGTTTCGTTAAGCATTTTCATGAGATTTATTTTCGATATAAAGTCGCATGACGTCGCACAACTAAAGTCAAAAGCAAGTAGGTAGTTGATTAGCAAAAGATAATTAAGGTCAAATATATTGAGTACAATCAAATTGCAAAAAGACGTTTGTAAAGAGGCGACCGTTGGGCTATTTCAATTCAGATATTCATCAGTTGAAAATGACTGCTTTTAACCATTGATGACGTAACTTATCATTTTAATCACTTTCAGATGAAATTTTCGATACACAAGGAATATGACTGTTGAACACATAACTTTCGCGCCTCAATTATTTTGTAACCAATATGAACCAGCAGCATAAAATGTCGGTTTCCTTAATGAATACTTCACAACTTCCAACTTGACTTTCACATCACATTTCAGTTCCCTGTTGGTGAAATTCCAGGGAAGTAGTCTTTACAAATAAACGGTAACTCACGGCAAAAACCATAAACGTGTAACCAACGAAAACTGAATACATGAAATTCAGAAGAAATGTCTGTGATGAGGAATTACAGGAGTTTTTCACGGAAGATATCTTCAATTTTAAGCACCATGGATATATTTGAAACAAGCTCCGATAGGAAAGATGGAAGGTTGGTCATCATGTCATTTCTGGATTGCGATTAGTGTATTTGGAGGTAAACAACATAGAAGAGATTTTTCCGAGCCTGAATTTGCCAATATTTTTGAATGATTTAAACGACAAAGATGTCTTTAAAGTTAGATTACAATACATTCATTAAGACACTGGCTACATTTTGAAAACCTTGTTACCAACAGACACATAACTCAAGGATTTCTGCCCGCGAATCGCAGGGCCCAGTTTACATTTAACTATTGCAGGCCACCCAATAAGCTTGCTAGACTTTAATGTTATTTTAATACTCACCAACTGTGCGTGACATCTGACAAGATGACACCGCTATACGAACTGGATGTTTAGTCTTAACGTGATTTGCATTTCTCAAAATTTCGCTGTTTTTAGGCAACAAAAGTATCATATTTTTTAACAAAAGAATCTGCTCTGAGCTTAACGTTCCATAGACTATTTATTTTTGAGTTTTAAGCAAGTTATTAGTTAACTGTGGATTTCCATCAGCTGACTATTCGGTTTTATCAGGTTCTCATGTCAAGGCTAGTTTTAGTGTATCCTAACCTTTCGTAACATCCGTTTCCACTCACTTTGTTTTGAGTGTATTATTTTTTAAGGTTGCGAACTTTTACTAGGATCAATTAAACAATTCACATCACAGTGATGAAGAATTCATGCAAGCGACCAGGATGCCATTCTGCTGTCACCAGTACCCGACCGTAGCTACTACCTTGACGTGGTGGTCGGGCTTGCCTATCGTGATGACCCAACTGAGCTATATTTGCTGGAACATATGTTTCTGTAGGTTCTACCATGCCAGGCAGCTCGATTGCAGAACGGTAAAACTATAAGCAGTAAACCCAAGGTCCGAAAGCGAAGTCGTACTGCTGACTGTACAGAGGTGTGACAGCAGTAATGTTTCCTTCAGACAACCAGCATAACAGCGATGCTGCCTTTCCACTAGGAGGGATGGGGGTTAGCAAAGGTTGATCATAAAAATGTCAAACCTCGCCTTACCTCATGGATTTTCGTCTCCGGCGGTAAAGATCTTTGAAGAACGGAGCTAACACATTAAAAACCTCCCACGGAAAGGCCGTGAGCGACCGGCCTCAAGCAGTTGTTCCTTGGGCTTTGCGGTCATGCTCCCAGGTCGCTAAGACCAACACTAACCCATCTTACTTTTCAGGTTCCTCAAGATATACCCTACCAAGGTGTGAGCAGCCGGGAAGTGACCTCAGCCCTCATAACCATAACAGCACGCGAGACCAAGTTGGTCACGATCAAATTCTTCCTTCACCTCCTAACAACTCTCTTATCTCCACAACTAAGCCTGCCCTAAAATACCCTGGTACGGCCGAGAGTGTGGAGAGTCCGCTTTCCCTCTCGAAATACTCTCACACAGCCACGCGTATACAGCCTCTGCCAGGAAAGTCCTACTCACTGACTACTCGTGGCGGGGGTGTTGTTTACGAAAATGAGAGGACGAATAGCGAATATCCGGCGCTATAACCGGATCCTTAACCATTGGTGCACATGGGCTACAGTATACTGAAGGAACAAATGGCGTATGAACCAATCGTTGGTCACCGGCTACCATGGGACTGCATCTCCTTACGATGCTCCACTGCCTTGTGGATCAGTCCTTCAGGTCGAAGGCTCGGGTTGTGGTCCCCTAAGAAAACCATCTGCTTCGGTTTGAGCACCCAGGCAGTATTACAGCCCTCACACAAATCAATTGAGATTCGTGTGGCGCATAGGTGTCTGGTCCCTCTTTGTACCAATATCTATGTGTTAAAATAAATAAATACAACTAACTTTTCTCACATCTCGCACCGCTAGTGCAAACGAATCGAGTACGCGAAAAGTTATTCCTCGTCTCCTGAAACCACACTCTAAACTACACGTAGGAGCTTTCAACGTCCGAACACTATGCCAAATAGAACAACAGCCTTCCTTAGCTAGGACTTTGGAATCTCGCACCATCGATGTGTGCGGCGTCTCCGAAACGCGCATACAAGATTGAAGTTGCGTCATTCATCTGACCTCACCATGTCGAAATAAAGAACCATCTCGATTCACACTTCGTGTGTCTGGAAGCCCTGATGCTGCTTCCCGTGGCCTCGCTGGCGTAGGTATAGCATTGAGTCCTAGGGCAGAACTAGCTCTCTTAGACTGGATCCCAGTAGACAGTCGTTTGTGTGCTGTCCGACTAAACGGAGCAGTAAGGACTCGAAAAGATAGGGACACTCGTCGTTGCCTCTTCGTCGTCTCTGCCTACTCTCCCACTGACTGCAGCTCAGATGATGTAAAAGATCAGTTTTACAGAAAGCTTTCCGACCTTCTCCGAAAAGCTCGGCGCTCAGATGTAGTAATAGTGGCTGGTGACTTTAATGCTCAAGTAGGTAAACTAAGCGAAAAGGAAAGACACCTGGGTGGATCTTACGGTGTCGCGGCTCAAAGAACAGATAACGGCGACCGTCTGTTGCAGCTATGTTCAGATAACCGCCTGTTTCTTGCAAATACTAACTTTAAGCATAAGGAAAAACATCTTTTAACATGGCGACCCCCTAATTCGTCCCATCGTTGGACCCAAATAGATCACATCGCTATCAGCCACCGATGGAGGGGCTCGATAGAAGACTGTCGCTCATTTTGGAGCACATGCTTAGACTCAGATCATGCTCTGGTGAGAGCGCGTATTTGTCTACGTCTTACTGGACGTAGGAAAGATGGTGCAAGGAAACCCCTTAGGGTCCTACTTAATGATAGTCAAGCTAAGAGTATATTTCAGGAACAACTAGAAAAACAGTTAGGCAGCTATGTAACTGATGCCCACCCCGAGGCAGCATGGAATGACATCCGAAAAGCTGTAGAAACAGCAGTGATGTCTGCAAGTACGGTAAATCATAAGGGTAGGGAGAAACACTGGATCTCAGAAGCGTCTACCGCACTGATAGATGCTCGAAAACTCATTCCATATGGCTCTGAACATAACGAAGAGCGGAGTCAGCTTAAGCGTAAACTGACTAGAAGCCTACACAATGATCGTGAACAGTGGTGGGTAGCGAAAGCAAGAGAGATGGAAAAGGCAGCGGCAATAGGTAACAGCAGGGAACTGTTCAGACTTGTTAAGGAAACCGGTATTAGGAACCCAACTGTTAGCGGAACAATCTCAGAGAAAGATGGACATATAGTTCATTCTCAATCCAGGAGATTGGATCGATGGGCAGAACACTTTAGGGATCAGTTCAACTGGCCTTCAGCCACACTTCGGTTTCCCACGATCTCCAGTCTGCCTGAATGGCGAGTTAATGTAAGTCCTCCGACTCTTTACGAAGTTGAAAAAGCTATAGGAAATCTGAAGCGTGAGAGAGCAGCAGGCCCTGACAGGTTTACCCCTGAGATTTTTAAGGATGGTGGTCCAGTATTAGCAGCGAGATTGACTGAGGTCTTAGGTAGAATCTGGGAACTGGACGTAATCCCATCTGACTGGTCTCAATCACTGATTGTGCCAGTCTATAAGAAAGGACAAAAGTCTTCTTGTGACAATCACAGAGGAATTAGTTTGACTAATATAGTGTCTAAAATATTAGCTTCAATAATACTTCGACGTCTAACCAAATCTCGTGAAGAGCAGACTAGAGAAAACCAGGCTGGTTTTCGACCTGGACGTGGTTGTATATACCAGAAAATCACACTACTTCAGGTCCTAGAACATAGACACACATTCAGACGCCCCACAATGGTAGTATTTCTCGACCTTAAGGCGGCATTTGACTCTGTTGATCGTAAGGTTCTATGGCAATGTTTGTCACTGAAGGGAGTACCAAAGAAGTACGTCAACCTTATAAAGGCTCTCTACTTGAACACAACTGGTCGAGTGAGAGCTTATGGCGAACTGTCATCAGAACTGATTACCTCAAGTGGTGTTCGTCAGGACTGTCCACTCTCTCCATTCTTGTTTAACTTTGTCGTTGACGTCCTTTTAGAGATGACACTTTCCACATCTGAATTTCCAGGAGTTGAACTTCTACCGGGAGATCCGCTTGTTGACTTAGAATATGCCGATGACATAGTTCTATTTAGTGAAGACGCTGACAAAATGCAGAGTCTGCTGACCACTATAAGCAACAATGCAAGCATGTTCGGCATGCGATTCTCTCCCTCGAAATGCAAAATGTTGCTTCAGGATTGGGTTGTATCGACACCCGAATTAGTGATAGGGAGTGAAGTAGTTGAGCGTGTTGACCGCTTCACTTATCTGGGAAGTCTCATCAGCCCTTGTGGTCTGGTGTGTGATGAGATCTCGGTACGGATACAGAAGGCTCGACTAGCTTTTGCCAACTTGCGTCATTTGTGGCGTAGGCGAGATATCCGTCTATCAACCAAAGGACGTGTTTACTGCGCAGCAGTTCGTTCCGTCCTACTTTATGGCAGTGAGACAT